GCATCGAAGATTAGAGTCAAACCTTTGAATACGGTCAAGAATAAGAAGCCTTGGTCCAGGGGGTATTTTCACATCCCTAAGAGCACTGAAACACATCATATGGCAATTTAAATGCCATTACAATATATATGTATATATGTGTGTGTATATAAGCACTGAATAAATCATTCATTAAAAGTTAAAATAAAGATGAAAATAATCCAGCGGCTTGCCTATCAGTGAGCAAAGGCAATGTGCTATCCGTTAACAAGCCGTTTTTGAAATTCTTCTCGTAGTTCTGCAGGCCGAGACTGTTTAACATGGATTTAGTTCTGGAATAATTAACATCCTCAACAGGTGGTTGAGAAAACTTTTGCCCCAACTGAATAATCACAAACAAAATAGCTGTTAGACTTTGTTATTCACATTCAGGTACAAGATTTGGCTACAGGAAAATGAAGGAAAATGCAGAACACGGATATATTGAAATTTTCTAGTTTTTTCCATGTATTTGGAGAGTCCTTGAAGGGTCATATTAGCCATTCGGATGTCCAGTATGCACCCGGCAGGGGAACTTTAAGAAAAATGAGGAGTCGGATTAAAAAAAACTGTTGGATATGACCTACAGGCCAGCAAGGGAACGTTCCGAAGCAGTAGCCATTGAGAAAATTCAACTTACTTGAAAAGCTCAACGTTGTAGACACTCTCAACAACAAATGATTCCAAAATTTTAGCATACATTTTCACATCTTTTAGGTTTATGTATTATCTTTCTTGTTCACGGCTTGTAGAGAAAGATAAAAATGTGGGTCTATGAGAGGCTAAAGAGACAACAAATCACCTGGAAAAGCCCGCCTTGCACAAGTGCAAAAAATAGACCAGAAGTGACCGCATTTGCAGCCTGATTCGGGCCGCCCATGCCACTGACCAAAGAAAACATGGCCCCAGAACCAAAAGCTGCTGCCATGCTGCAAGATACAATAGTTAACAACCGTGTAAACCTAAAGTAAAGGTCCAGCAGTGCAAAACAAGACGGTATAGTCTACATTTATTTATTCAAACACCAAACTTGGATCGTCCATACAATATTCAGAAGACCGAACAGAAACTTTGAATAATGCTCTCCGTTGATAATATTACAGTTCTAACTTATGATGGATAGTTCATATCGTCCAGTCAAAATGTTTGCATGCTTATTTCTATTCAAGAAATAATAATAATGATGGGAGCATGATAGCGTAGCTTGACACGGGCTATCTTCCGAGATAAACTAGAATGGAAGCCAAATGTTCCTTAAAGGCAACAACCTTTAGAATTTCCAGGGAAATTCAAGAGAAAATTGCCTCCAAATTATAAACCGTCAACGAACTAGGGGGATAAGTGAGACTTCATCCTTCCTCAAATACTCAAGAATCTAACCATGCTATTTTCAGACCAAAGCAACGACAAACACTCCTTTCTGACTGCTTTCAGAGAAAGGCCAGCACAGGTATACAGTACGCTATAACATTTCCATGGTCTGGAACAACCTTTTCGACCATAAAAATTTGGAAACCTAAAGCATGATTCTACCTTAAAGAGTGAAAAACAGTTCTAATAGTGTGTATGTTTTCAGAAACAAGTCCATTTATAGCATTATTTGTTCGCATCTTTACGTGTTAATGATGTATATTGCACATATGCTATTATCATGTATTCTGATTCTGACTAGTGGCAACATCCTCTAGCCATAAACCAACATAAACCATGATTAAAAAATGGTTCACCTAGATTGGACATCCTCCTTTCCCCTCAATCTTTTCATAACACAAGATATGCCGGCATTGACACCCGTCATTACCGCAAAGTTGCGAGCTTGCACCAAGGGACCTCCTGATAGAGCCTGTAACCAATGTAAAAACATCTATCAAATATCCGCAAAATCCATTTATCGAACACTCATCCAGGTACTGCTTATGAAACCCTTCAGTGATTTTAAGTTGAAAATCAGTTCTTTCTAAACAACAAGGAATTCAATCTTAGTCCACACCATTTAAGAACCCAATCCAAACCTAAAATAACGCAATCAACAATAAACCCATGGATTCAAAGAGCAGCAAAGAGAGCATAGAACAACATAAAACCAACAGCCGTGACTTTGGGTCTATGATTACCGAAGTTGAAGCTTATAGTGAAAGCAGGTAAAAAAACGAAGAGACCTGGGCTTGCTTGAACGAAGCCATGGCTTGAGGATTCATGGAAGCTTGAGGAGTCGGAAGAGAGGAGGACACATCGTTGGTGAGGGTACCCATTAAAGCGCCTATAGCAGCACCCTGAGCAGCGCCGGTGGTGGTTACAGCGGCCGCCTCGACCGGCAAGGACTGCTTGGCTAGCCAAGCCCTGAACCCGTTCTCCACTTCCTTGAACTTGGATTGCAATTGTTCCAGAGGGTTTTGCTGTTGCTGGGGCATCAAACTAGGCACCGCGGTTCCTTGATTTTCTTCTGTGCGCCCCATTTTCGTTAAGCTTTTTCTTCAGTATATGGTTTGATTTAGAGTCTGCAAACTGGAATTTGTGCTGCCGGTGGTGGAGCCACCCTGATATTGCCGCCGAAAATGGATTTGGATATATTAAAGTAGCATCTTATTATCCCGAAGTTTGATTTGAACATGTCTCAGTGAATCGGGTCGGGTCAATTTGTGATTATATTTCGGGTAAACTACACTATAATTCACTCAATTATGTATTAGTTAACAAACTGGTATTTTTTTTCTAAAAGTTACAAACAAGTCACTTTTTTTAAAGGGGTCGTTTGTATACTTTAAAATAAGAGAAACATACAAAAATCGAACACACTGGAAGGCCTCATTAAAAAAAAATCTCCTTATAACCTATTTGGAGGATACAAACAAGTCACTTTGCTGTTAAAATCTAAACGAACTTCCAATGTGACATGGTATAATAATATTTTTAGTCCAAAAACTTGTATATTCTATCAATTTTGTCCCACTTCAAAATAATTTAGTAAATTTAATCTTTTGTATTCAAAATTTTCGTTAATTTAATTTAAATTGTCAAGATTTGATTTTTTCGGTTTACTTTGATCAAAATTAATTTGTATTGCCCTAAATGGAGAGAACTCAGATGATCAAAAAGATTAATTAGGGATTGCAACACACTAAGGAAAGAAGGATGGAAAACAAAAGATAATCGGTGTACCGGCCGTCTTGCCTACATGGCTCTCGGAAAAGAAGAAGATGAGCACCAGTAAAATTAGGATTTAAATGCTGACTTTTTTTGTCATTTGTATAAAAAAATTGGTATTTTTAATTTAAAATCCTCAATCATAGAATTGGGAAAGAAAGTAAAACTTTCGAAAGCTAATTTTACTGAAATGTCATGCACGAAATCAAAAATAAAAATTCATATATATATATATATATATACATTAAGAACTCGAGTATAAATAGCACTTGTATTTTATAAAAATAAATATATAATATATTTAAAAATATTAAATAAATAATATTAATCTTAACTGTAATTTAATATATATGTCTTCTGAAAGCAAAATTTGGTACCAAAGAGAAAGATTCCACACTCAAAGACCCTTTCAATTAGCAGGTGAGACTTTCATTTCTTGATCTTTATTACACACTCTCTGTAGAGATTTTGCCAAATTCAAAAGTTATAATATCACGAATTTTGGATTAGTGATTGGAATGTAAAAATTTAAAAGTTTAGGATTAAAGTGTGAAGTTGTAAAATTTTAGGGTTTAAAAATGTACATTTTTAAAAGTTGTATCTTGGGTCTGTAAATATGTAGTTCAGCACAAGATAATTATTTGAGTAGGTTTCACATTTTTAATCTACTTGTATAAAAGTTTATTAAAGGATGAAGATCAGCATAATACTCGGATAACTGGATCAAATCATAAACCTATAAAAATTTGAAAAAAGGTAGTTTTGGGTTAGAAAAATTATATGAATATTTTTAGTTAGTATAATTTAAGTTGGATTGGTGGAATTTGGTGAGAATTGCACTATAAAGTGGAATAGTGTAATTTGATGACTAAATTGAAATTTTAAAAAATTAGAGGGTTGAAAAAAAATTGAGAGATGAAATTTTTATGGTAATTAATAATATTAAAATAGAGATGAAGAAGTGGGATAAAAGTAAAAATGGTGATTCATTAATGACAATATAGTCTTTTTGGTCTAAAATGAATAAAAGAAATTCATTTTATTAACTTTAAAAGTTAATAATTGGGAGATTTTTTTAATAGAATTTTCGTGAACTCCTCTCCTCTTCCTCAGCTACTGTCGAGCCTCCATATCCAGATTCCTGTGGGATTACCAGCGACTCTGCAGGAATCTTCTTCTTCGGACTGTGAACATGTGTCTATGGAGGAGTATCTCTATTGTCCACAGGATTTAGCCTTGAAATGCTGTTTAGTCTCACTTTGAATTATCATTTTAGTCATTTCTTCTTATTTTATTGTTTGGTTGGTATTCGAGAAACAGGTGAATACCAAATAGGGACATCGAAATTTCATTTGATTCAAGATATCAATGACTCGAAACATTTTAAATAAAAGAATAAAGAGTTGTTTGTTTATTTCAGAATGATTAAACTCTGAATAATTAAGCGCTGAATAATTCAAATACTGAATGATTTAAAGGTTCTGTATAAATTAGCTTTGAATGTAACATGCTATTTGATAATGGCTCTAAATCTAAATCATTCAGAGTGTACTTTGATGCTGAATCATTCAGCATTATTTTGTTGAATCAGTCAGCACTGAATCATTTAGAGGTAAAAAACAAACACGTTGAATACTGAATCGTTTAGCATTCAACTTTGAATAGTTCCATTCAGAGCAAGACAAACAGTCTCTAAATGGTCATTTGATGATAATATATTGTTTTATTAAGTTTATCGATTGTTAAAAATTATAAAATGACATTTTAATTATAGAATATTATTTTATTAGGTCTCGACTATTAAAAATTACAAATATTCATCATTTTTCGATAAAATTTTGACAAAAAAAAAACCTCTTAAGGCTGAACCTTCCGAATCTTCACAAGCCTTTGAGATCGCCATTCCGCCACATGGCAATGTGTCGTCCAACACTCGCACGGAGCAGCCGAATCGCAAACATAACAGTAACACTGCATCAATTCGAAACAAAATTCATTACAATTTTCCTCTAATCAGAAATTCAAATGATCACAGCCATAATCGAAGCTAATCCGCCATTTAAGCAAAAGATTATCTCTTTGCATACCAGATCACAGTCTGTCATGAGGCGTAGTATCGAATGGAAATTGCAGACAAAGATGCCTTGAATGTGGATAATCTCTGCAGGCCACCTAAAACAGCATCAAGAACAGAATTAAAATAACAAAAACTAAAGATAGTTGCTTTTTGGTACATAAGAAGTTAAGAAGGAGTCAATTTTCCAGGAAGATAACATTGCCCAGAGAACTGAACTAAACTAAACTAATTTTGAAGTTTTTGTTCAATTCATTGTCTTTACAATGAATTGAATGATCATTGAATAATCCTTCAGTGTCGATTTTCAGGGAAAATAAAAATACCCAGAGAACTAAATCAAACTAACATTGAAGTTTTTGTTCAATTCATCGTCTTTACAATGAATTGAATAATCATTCAGTGTCAGTTTTCCGGGAAAATAACAATACCCTGAGAGCTAAATTAAACTAACATTGAAGTTTTTGTTCAATTCATTGTCTTTACATTAAATTGAATGATCATTGAATAATCCTTCAGTGTCAATTTCCCGGGAAAACAACAATACCCAGAGAGCTAAATTAAACTAATTTTGAAGCCTTCTGTCCAATTCCAAGCAAGCTTTACCTTTTTAATTCCTTTAAAAGTGTAAATTTCCTCAGCAAATACATTAGCAAAAAACTGAGTTTAAATAACAAAAACCTCACCACGTTCGGCGACCACGGAGTGTTCTTCATCAACATCGCCGTCGTTGGCGGCGTAGAGCTTGGCAACGTCAACGGGATTAACAGGGTTAAAAACAAGAATAAAGCAATCTCCAGTCTCCTCAACGCGCTGCATATCGACGATCTTTTTCAAGCAAAAAATAGATCTCAAAGGACTCTCTTCCACCGGATCGTCCTTGTTCTCCCCCTTATCTGTATGCGTCGGTTTCTTTAAGGGCGTATTTTTCACGCCGATGAAAGCACGGCCACTACCTCCGCCGCCTTTGGTGTTTCCCTTCTGCTTGATTTTCTTCGCTTCGGCATCAAATCCTTGTGCTGTTCCAGTATCGATTAAAACCCTTTGTGAAACAATTTTGAGTCTCTTTCTTCCTTGAGCATGTAATTTGAAAGATAAACGTTAGCTTCGGCTTCCCCCCAAAACTTAAAACAGCCTCAGGAACAAGGGAGGCCGCCATTGATTTGGGTTTGAGCTTCGATTTTCATGTGAATCTACACGGAAAAAATCTGATTAAAATCCATTGGGCTTTTGAAATTGTACAGATCGAAATTAAATGGTCTAATTCTATCTCCGATCCCTTTACTTTGCAATAAAAGTCTAATTCATCCATCTGCTGAAATTATAAATTGAAGTAAAAATAAAATTGATATAAAGGTAATTTACCCTTTTATCTATTTAAAGCACGAATGTATTTTGTCTATATTATAGTACTTTATAATTTTTCACTGTGGAGAATCAATTATTAGTTGCATCAAAACAAACTAATGTATCAACGTCCCGTGCCATTAACGTTTGGATCTCCTTAACTTTACATAAAGATGTTTTTTTTTTATAAAAAGGTTGGCACTTTACATAATTTTGTCTCTTAATTTAGGTTTAATTCAATATAATTTTAATATTATTAATAAAAAAAGACGATCAATCATAGGTGATTTATTCCTTTTAATTTAAACATAGAGTCTCAGTCCATATTTAGACAACGAGCGATCAATGTCAATATTCTCATTTTACGTATGAGGGAAATGAAGATGAAGTGAAATGATTTCATATCTTTCTAGTATTGGTTGAGAGGCTTTATAATGATCCTTAATGTCAGTATCATACGTAAGGTCATGATGATTACTTAGATTATAAATACAATTATTCATTTATAGCGGATTTCACTTTAACAAATCACGTGGATTTGTCATAAATTATGTTAAAAATAGCGGTTTTCCTATTTTTAAAGATGTCGATTATCAAATAGTTTTTCTAATGTTTTATGTATAAAGAACAAAGGAGATTTGGAGTAGATATAACAAATATAATTATAATTCATGTGGTTAACACATACGAAAAGTTTCAATGACCACCAAGTATGTGCATGGAGTCGAAATTAAAAAATAATTGGATTTTTCTCGCACGATCTTTTTTTAATTAATTTTAGTAAGTATAAGGTAGTATATGTTTTAAGATAATTATCAACTATTTAATATTTAATCCTCAAATCTCTAGTATTTCTCGTGCTCAAACATAAAATCTCAAAAAATAACAATAATTCTTTTATCATCGAGATGAATTGATCCGTGTTCTTTTAAGCTCGGTGAATGAGAAAGAGCAGAAAGGCAAAACAATCCTCATCTTTCCACGAGAAAAAGGCAATAAGCAATGAATCATCTTTCTTATCCTCCGCCAACCATGTGAAAAAGCAAAATCATGGCCACAATAATTATGAATCATCCAAAGATGAATATCATCGAAAACAAGCCTTTTAATCATCATGTTATTAATATTACGATTCTAGCATCTCTTTAAAGACAAGGGCATTAGACAAAACAAATCAACCATTTCTTATATGAGTGAAGAAAAACATCAACAAGCCGATATAAAGTTTAGGGTACCATGTTAATGTCACACATCAGTGGAGCACCGAGTGGCTGTACTAGAACCGATGAACGGACTCGCCGGTGCGGTATTAGGTCTGAACACCATAACCGATACACAGTTGACGTTAAACCGATATCGGCCGGAAACCCAAGTCCCGACTTTCCACCGGATTTTCCCAATGGCTCTCAAACTAAAAACCATCCTCCCAGCGCTCTGATCACGTGCGACGTCGTAACCGAAAGACGGAGCCACCGGGAGAGCATTCCCCTGCAGAAAAGCCGTCAACAAGTTGCTCTCTTGGTGGCCTTGGTAAAACGGAGGAATAGGGGTATACACGGTTATCTGCTGGCCTTTGTACGAAGCATAAGCCTGCAACTCGTCGTAGTAAACGCCGACTCTCTGGTTGGGGTTTTTGGAGAGGAAGGTGAGCTGGATGGACGAGTTGAGGAGCGAAGGGCGAGTGAGGCCGAGTTGGTAGATGTCTAGCTGAGTGAGGGAGAAGCGTGGTTTGGAAGGGTGGAGAGTGAGCCAGACAAGGAAGATGAAGGCTAAAACGATGATGAAAAACGAAGAGATGGAGAATAATAGTTTCTTGTGGGACTTGTGGATGGTTAAAGTTTGCTTTTCGGCGCAGTGTTTGGGGGATTTAGAGAAAATTTGAGACATTTGCGAGAGGGAAGAGAGACGAGGAAGATGGTTTTCTTGCAGGGGTTGAGAAACATGGTGGCCGATGGTCTTAATAAAAGGGCTTAATACGATTTTATCCTAAACTATACCTCAAATTGATTTTAGGTTTGATTGTCTAAAAAAACTTCGTTAAAAATATGTGTATAATGTTTTTTCCATTAACTATTAGGTAAGGGTGTTCCTAATTCGGTCAAAACCGAATTAACCGACTAAATCAAATTTTTGTCGGTTAATCGGTCAGTTAAATTTGAGTTCGGTTGATTAATGATTAGAGGTTTTTTCTAACTTCGATTTCGGTTAATTCGATTCAAAATTGACTAATTAACCAAAATTGTTAAATATTTAATATATTATATATATTATTTAGTTTTAGGGGTGTTTAAACTTCGGTTTTAACCGAATTAACTAACCAAATTAATCAAATAAATAAAAAATATTTAATATTTAATATATAATGTATATTGTTTATATATTATTTATAAATTACTGTTAATTCGATTAATCCAATTAACTGATCAATTAACCGAACTTAGTTTGATTCAATTAATTTTTTTGAAAAAAAATCGATTCAGTTAACGATTAAAGGGAAAAAATCAATTAATGAAATTTGGGTAATCCGGTGTGTTCGGTTAACGGAATTAACCATTTGAACACCCCTACTTTTAGTTGCCTATCATTAAATGACATAAGTAATATTCAGATTTTTTAGGTACCTATTTTTATTAAAAAAAATTATTGAGGCATCAAAAATCAATTTGAGATATAATTTAAGCACTTAAAAGTGTATTAAGCCTAATAAAAAGAGTACATAAAGAAAAAAGAATTAACTGCACCGTGTCTTCAAAGTAGTAGGACCTTCATTTTAAATTGGTTACTCAAACTTTTAAACATTTTAATTTCATCATCAAACTATGACCTCTTGCTAAGTTAGTCTCCAAACTTTTTGAATATTCTAGTTTCATCCCAAACCATGTGTATATACTAATCACATCCATTGTTAGTAAAAACGTTAGGCCAAGTTATATTATTGTATGTTTGGGGAATTAAATATTTGGATGAATTTGGGATGAAATCGGAATGTTCAAAAGATTGGGGACCAATTTAGAAAGAAGTCATTGTTTGGGGATGAAATTAAAATATTTAAAAGTTTGAGGACTAATTTAGAAGGAAAATCATAGTTTAAGGATAAAATTTGGATATTAAAAAGTTTAAAGATCAATTTAAAATGAGGGTCATACTCTGAGAATATACGATATAATTAACTCGGAAAAAGAAAACACCAATTAAATATTTTTGTCTAATTTTAAGATTAATCCCTCTATTTCATAAAAATCCCAAATCGTGGGTCCCAAATTAGGATATAGGGCCCCACCATATGAAATCATGAATATGCAATTTCGAACAACCATGCAACAGGCTTGAATTACAAGTTTGATACTTTATTTACAATAAAGATATGTTTTAGTATATACAAACAATGATCATTGAGAGTAGAAGGATATCTTTTCTTTATATTCTAAAGCTTTCCGACCCAGAATATGCAATATCCGAATTTTTTTATTAGGATTTCCGTTGAAGTCTCGGATTTGAACATTAAGAATATTATAAGTGTAAACGTTTAATGGCATTTAATGTTGAGAATTATCTTTAAATAAATATTTTTTTTATTCTTTATTAATAGAAAATATATTAATATAATTCAAAATTACAGTCTGGGACCCCTTAATTAGAATCTTTCTAAAATAATATTACAGTCTGGGTGGGTTTGCTTGGACGTTTGAAATTAGAGAAAAAGAAAAGGTTTTTCTTTTTCTTTAAAAAGACTCAACTTTTTTCAGGTCTTGTTGAGCCCTTAATTCAATCAAATAGAAAGCTGCCTGACCCCATAACTATTGATTTGATTTCAAGTCCTTTCCACGAGAGGGTTGAGTCTGTTTTAATTTTAATAAAATAGTGACTTGATTATAATGATTTTTTAATCGAGTGAGTAAATTATAACTTTTAGAAGAAGAAAAAAGAGCGACTCATTTGTAACCAAACTAATAATTGAGTGATTTGGAAGTGTTTTTTTGCCCAAAAATAATATGTTACACTAAAGATCCGAGTAAAGTCGATTTCATGTTCTGATCTTAGTATAATACAAAGTTGTAACTTAGCCATCAGATGAATTGCCAGAACGAAGACCGGCTTGCGTGACTGATTGGCCTGCGGTTGACGAACGAACTGGCCTTTAATCCTCGGACGCTGCTCTGCAAGTTTCTTTCAGCTCTCGTATCGGACCTGTAAAAAGAATTGCCGGAAACATTAGCTGTTTCTAAGATGCTACTACCTTCATGTCATGCAACATAAGATGGCAACTTATGATAATTCTGTACCTTCTTTTCAAAGCATCTGTCTTTCCGCTTCAACCAGAACTTGTTTAGAGCAGCCTCTCATTTGGAGGAAACGATGTGAATTTCCAACCGGATTGGGAAACCGTCATCATTCTTGCTCTCCGTAGAAGCTTGGACAACAGCAATCTGCTCCAGATTGCCATTACTTGCGGGATTGCTTCTGTATGCAATATTATCAAGTTGATTTAAGGAGCCATTACAGAAACTGCCGGTTGCACTTGCACTCTGGTCAGCGATAGGGGAAATGCGTCCTCTATCCTCGGCTGTACCCAACCTTTGGTCCGGCTTGTGCGAAGGTTGGTTGGTTGACTGGTTCGTTTCGAAACTGGGATGAAGAAATGGATTCACACGACAGGCAGGTTCTTGTTGGTTGGCTGAGCTTGGACTTGGAACAAGGGATGAACTTGTCTATGCACAGAGTATTGTAGGAATTAATGAAGTATAGCCGTTACACATGTTAAACTTGCACCCCTTCTTCACTGGTACTGGGACAGGATACACGATCCGTTGCGTGCATGATTCTGCAACTTCCGTTTGCTTCAACTGATCAGTAGTTCCCGTAGTTGAACGGTTCATGTTTCTTTGAGAAGTTGGTGCAGGACCAGGAGTATCGGTGTTATATACGGTATTGGACAAAATCTTCTCAGAATTAGTTCCAGATTCTTTCTTCTGGTCACTCGCACACATCAACGTCGAATTCAGGGGCTGTGACGGCCAGCTAGAGTACCTGCATTAAAGATCATAGATATGGTTGGCAACTAAAAAAACGAGATTATTTGATATAACACACGCAAGAGTGAAATTCGATTCCATCTACTAGTTTGAAAGAGTTCAAAAGCCTTTGAGCTAAATTCTTGAGACGGAAATGGCAAACGGAAACCAACCTTGTAAAGGCTGATGAATTAGGATGCCAGAGGATAGGCTTTTCTTGAGTAAGATGATTCTCAAAAGCGTCACGATGACATCTTCTCAGGGAAAGATCCAAGTCTGCAGAAGAATCGAACCTGCTTCCGCTGTTTATCGAAGAAGAATTGCAATTTCGATCAAGTGTTCCCATGAAATCAAAAGCTTCTCTTGGTGAATCACCCAGGGCAACACTGGCCTCGTGGTCCAAGATATTAGTATCCCCACTTTGACTTTCCGGTCCAACAACTGCTCACAAATTTGGTCAAGTTTAGACAAGGTTAGATGCTCTCCAAACCGAACTGAGAAGACTGATAAAATTCGAGATTTAGCGTCTTAACCCCACTTTTCTTCTCATGCATGAGGAGTTCCTGATTGGAATTCGCCTGAGCTTCTTACCGTGAAAATTCCGGCATATTTTCCATGTGAGCACCCTCAGCTTCCATCTCTGGCTTTGTACAAGACCACTGCAAGTAACATCAAACATGCTATTTGTAAGAAACTTCATGTGGCCAACATAAACCGAACGACAAAACCTTTTGAACATGGGTGACCTCATCAATACATATACGAACTTACAAGGCTCCGTCACACATTACCGGAACTACTTCCTGATTTTAAAAAGGCACAATAACCATATAAAGTTGAAAGATGAAGAATACTGACCTGCGCTTCATTTCCTTTCTCAGTTTGTTCCTTGATTCGTTTGACACCAGCCAAGCAACCGCTGGAATGGTTACTCGCAGCATTGTTTTCAGATATAGCTTCAACCTTTTTTTGTCCGACACTCTCGGTTGCAGCTTCCTCCAGCTGAAATCGAAACAACAAACACAAAATAGGATTAGAAAAGTGCACATTAAAACTTCAGCGGAACCGCGGAGGGGAAAATGAAGGGTAAGAAGTAAGCACTCACAGAACCAACTTGTCAGGCGGAAAACTTCGTAATCGTAGACTAAATGCGTCCGCAGAGAAACGTATCCTTGTCATCATCGTTTATGTCTTTGCTTTGCCTTTCCTTTTTTGTTATATTATTTATTATTATTATTACCTTAAAAGCCCTAACTTACTTAGGGGTTGTTTGTTTATTTCAGAATGATTAAGTGCTGAATGATTTAGAGGCTCTAGATGAATTAGCTCTGTGACATGCTGTTTGTTTACTGGCTCTGAATCATTCAGAATGTACTTCTGTGCTGAATCATTCAGCACTGTTTTACAGAATTAGTCAGCACTGAATCATTCAGAGGTGCGAAACAAAATCGCTGAATGATGAACGGTTCAACATTCAGCACTGAATGGTTCCATTAAGAGGTAAACAAACAGCCCCTTAATATATTACTCTTTATAAAATAGTTTAAATTTTATTTATTCATTTTCAAAATTTTGAATTTAAATAATAATTAAGATCTAACATAAAAATAAAAAAGAGAAAGCAAATTTAATTTAAAGTATTCAAAATAAACTAAAAGATTACAAATAATTAAAAATAAATTATTTAAAGAAATAAGATGAAATTTATAACACTTGACAGATAATTTTTCAAATAAACTTAATCTTATGAAAACCATTATCTGTAGAGTAAAAAATTGTGTCATGAAATCATCATTATTAGCAAAATCGTAAACAATTATTAATGATTTGTATATTATAATTTTATCACTCAAATAAAAAATAAAATAAAAATCAGATACATAATTGGTTGACTTAAAATTTTATTTTATTTTTCTTTAAAAAGTAATAATGTGTCAATATTAACCTTGAACGACGATAACAATATACATGTTAAAAGTTTAACTACTCGATAAAAAAATACTTTCATTAATCAATTAAAGTTTTTTTAAAACTGTTCGAGATGATTATAATATAATATTTATTTATGATGTTTTTTTAAAGAGATACATATCACAAACATAATTATTCGAATTTATAATCTCTAAGAAAAATGATATTTTCTTAACCAATGAAATTACCTTATAAGTTCATTAATGGATTAAAGTTAAGATCGTCACGTATATCGGATCGAGATCAATATTCGACTTGAGTCATATTCTCAATATCAACCTAATAAGTTATAATGTTTTTAGTTTATTTTCTAAATAATTTATCTCCGTCCATATTTTGCTTGCTTTTCCAAAATTACCCCAAGTAAGCCTTCACCCGCATTAAAACCACACCCAAAGTCTCTTCGTCAATTTACAGAATCATCACTACAAACCAAACAAAAGTTGTCCTTTTTGTTAGTCGTTTTCTCCTCGTTTTGCAGTCTTTTTTTTTCCAATTCCCAGTGCATAAAGTGACGATCTTTAAGGTGGGTTTTGGCTTTTACGTCAATGGAAACCATTTAGATAAGGAAGGTACGTTCTTCTTCTAACAACTTCAACTACAAAAACAACTTTATCTGTTGCTTTTGTTCTTGTTTTAATCTATGATGTGTTTGTTTTCTCGGATCATTAAACGAGGCAGAGTAATCAAGATGTGATTTTCATCCCTTTTTTAGTACATTACAGGGGAATCTGAATCGGACCATCGTTTTGTTTAGAGGATTTGCACTCGATCATGCCGGGTCTTGAGAATGGCGGTGCGAAAATGGGGTCACCCGGTCAGAATTCGGAGAAAACTGTGGCTGTTTCGTCGATCGAATCCAATGCGGTCAATGATTCTGGCAAATCAAAAACCTACGGCGAATCCGTGGCTGCTTCTAACTTTGAACAAGACAAAACAGCAGAAGTTGCCATCAATGGCGATGGCGACAGCAACAACTCTGAAATGCTAAATGGGTTTAACGATGTCGAAAATGGGGGTAATGGTGAAAATTTCAGGGAAAACATGAGTGATTTGGTTGAAATTTTGTCGAAGCTTAACCCTATGGCTGAAGAATTTGTACCTCCTTCCCTTGCAAATCACCACCATGATGAAAATGGGTTTGCTTTTAGTACTGGCAATTTTGCAGTGAACGCTAATTCCGGAAACGCCAATGGGTATACTAATAGAAGGGTATGTTTAATTTCATTTTGCTTTGCCATTTTTGTTTTTGTTTCATGTTGGTAGCTTTTTTTATTATTATTCTGTTCCTTTTTACACAGAAGAGGAATAACTCTAGCCAGGGGAAGAGAAGATTGAATAATCGAACCACCTTTGCGCAGCGAGAGGATGTGATTAGGAAGACTGTTTATGTATCCGACATCGATCTACAGGTACATTTCTTTAAAACTTTTTTTTTTTGGCCTCAGTTTTACTTTCTTTGTCTAATGATATATGGTGATGTTTATAGGTTACCGAGGAGCTTCTTGCAGGTCTCTTTCTGAGCTGTGGACCGGTACTTCTCCTTTCTTTGTCGTATTTAGTGCCGAATTTTCGGTTTATCCAACTTTGTAGTGGTGGATTACTCCCTTAAAATGACTTCCTGTTGTTTCTATAGGTTGTTGATTGTCGTATATGCGGTGACCCTAATTCTATTCTCCGCTTTGCCTTCATCGAATTCTATAAAGAAGGTATCACGAATGGCTTATGAATTTGGTAAGCGTTGATGACTGTTTCCTTTTACCGCATTGACAATTCAATGTTCTTGCAGAGGATGCGAAAGCTGCTTTGAATTTGTCTGAAACCATCCTCGGATATTACCCTCTAAAGGTGATGCCTTCCAAGACTGCAATCGCACCAGTTAACCCGACCTTTTTACCCAGGGTAAAGCATATATTTCACGAAAGAAGTTTATTCAGAATTCTGTCTATATTATAGAAACTGAATCAGTGTGATGTTGATGTGTTTTGTTTTAATTTACTTGGCCTTGAATGCTTGTTCTATTCAATTTCAGTCTGAGGATGAGCGTGAGATGTGCACAAGGACCATTTACTGTACAAACATAGACAATAAGGTAGGTTCTCATCTCATGTCCACTATTTTCTCGAATGCCAATGCGATCAGTAACCTGAGCAGTAATTCCTGGTTTCTTTGTTCAACTGATACAGATTACTCAAGCTGATGTCAAGCTCTTCTTTGAATCAGTTTGTGGAGAGGTCTGTCGTTTCTCATGCAGCATGCCTTATAAATGCTCTGCTCTCTTACAATTATCTCGTTTAATGATTTCTTACGGAACATTTTTGTTTTGCGGTAGGTTCAACGCATGAGGCTGTTGGGAGACTATCGTCATTCAACTCGCATTGCATTTGTTGAGTTCACAATGGTAGTTAATCTCTTGCTATCTTTATTTACTGAAACCGTTGCAACTTATCTTTCTATGGTATCATGTTGAATTATCCGTATTGTCCTTTCTCAAGTTGAGAATAATTATCCGTACTGCCCTTTCTCATGACATCAAGTAACGGTCTAAAACTTATTCAGGAAACCTCATTATATCGATCAAAACTTTTGGCATCGTCCCCCCCCCAATTGTCGTTACTGGAATAGTTTCCACAAATGTTTCTCAAAGAATGTAACTGAAGATATGTTTGTATATTTTGTTGCGATCGCCATCAAACGACAAGCTGCGACTCGATTGACAGTGTGTCCCATATTGTCGGCTTTATTTGTCTACTAGTAAATTTAATCGGATATCGTATGCAACAATAATCTTTTATGTTTTTCTTTTCCTACACATGCAGGCTGAAAGTGCGATTGCAGCCCTCAACTGCAGTGGTGTGGTTTTGGGATCACTTCCCATAAGGTCAGTTTATGAAACTTTTCCTTTCGTGTTTACACATCAGGTTGTAAAATTCTATTTCCCCGAATTTTACAATATTGTTCGCTTTCCTCGTATCCAGGGTAAGCCCGTCTAAGACACATGTTCGTCCCCGTGCTCCTCGCCCTGCAATGCACTAAATCATCCTCGCTCGTTGCTTCCTACCGGACTGATCAACTGCTAATATATATTTACATATACATGCAATACATACAGCAGTACATTCGAGGTACATTCGGTGTTAATGTTATCTTGTCCCTGCAACTGAGTTGCTTACATGAGGTTTCTTTTAGCTCGTAAACGAGGTTTCAATCGTGGTCGGTTTCTTTTGGCTCGTAAAAGAGGTTTCAATTGACATGGATATTAAGTTATGTTTCATGTTACAATGCAACTCTCTAAGGGAGGATCACTCATATCTAACACCTGTTTATGTTTTATAGACTCTCTGCCGTTTGTCATGATCTTTTTTTCATTGCCTTCTTCGTTCGCGGAATACCGAGTATATACATTTTTCTTTGAATGTTGTAAGGCTAAGATACTCGGATTTAGGTATGAGTCTCGGATACGAGTATGGATCTAATACTGGTATGTTGGATTTAGTCTAAACATTCGAACTTAGTTAGGTTTAGGTTTTAAGATTCGGGGTTAGGGAATTAGATATGAACCGGGTTTCCTTCTACACATCTTTTGTTTCGGATTGGTCTGGACGAATTCCGGTTCGGATCGACTTTTTGTTTTTCGGTTTTTATTACTCGGACCCAATATATTGCAAATGCATGCATACAACCATTACGATGCATGCGAAATGCTAATTGCTTTTGCTAATAAATTGTCATAAGATAAGTCTAAGCCTTGTTGGTTCATAGAATCCGTTTATCGAAAGTCTCAATCGCTTGAAAGCAGTCACACTCAAATGGTAAAATTGCAGATAGATCCCTCAGAATTATAAAACTATAAAATATATACCCTCTCAAAAATTTATAATTTAATTTTAGTACCTAAAATAAATCTCAATACATCGTCCCTGGATCCAATCATGGCCAACTATATATCTAAGCCCCCAAAACACCATTAATAGAGGTTAGAGAAGATCATCATCCACCACCAAATGAAGCAATATCCCACAGCTGTCAGAATTGTTTTATCCGGTAAACTACACTGATGACTCCTTTTGTTTTGGAAAATCTTATTTTGATCACCTATTTTGAAGAAGTAACATTTTAATCATCTATTTTAGCGGTTTGTTATATTTTGATTTTTGTCGATTGTTATTGCTAATGATCATTGGAGCCTAAAATTTTCAATTCACTAATTTTTTACCTTTCTAGATACGAATTTAGTTCTCATTTCACCGACATATACCTCTAACTCCACAAACATGGTCTATAACCCTACAAATTCTATTAAATATATAGCGATAACAAAAATATCATTATATTTTTTAAAAAGTAAGGACAGTTAAAAATCTAAATCTAAAATATTTTATTATCACGATTTATTTTTAAATAAATTTAAAGGATTTTAGACAATGTTTACGAAGTTCAAGGCATGTTCAATTAAAAATGGCAAAAATGAGTGAATTTGAATTTTTGGGGTATGATGATCGACAACCGATGCTGAGGACTTTAATTGAATTCATAAGGTAAATTGATATGTATGGGTAAGAATTTTGATTAGATTCATGAGTCAGATTGACATATGTGGGGTAAGTATAGTAATATATGTTTAAAGATAGTCCTTAGATGTCAATGTTAGCATTGTATGCTTGTGATTTCAATGATTATCATTTCAGGTCGGGGAAGAAAACGGGAAGGCGAAGACGGCCCCGATGAAGATGAAAGTCCAGTTTATGCTCCGGGTACCATCAGAAATTAGGCCTTCTGCAGCTGAACAAGCGGCAAGAGGACACCCTTCTCCATTGTCGCCCCACCATTTGAGGCCAATGTTCTTTGATTGTAGTGTAAGAAACAATAAGATGGTCATGAAAGAAGGAGAAGAAGTAAACGACGGTGTATTAGACAACAGTTCCAAAGGAGAAAAAGAAATAACTGCGGATCAGGCCAAAGCCAAAATGTAATTGACATATTCCTTTTGAAGGCAAAACACGAGTTTTTATAAGAGATGGTAAGTAAACGCTTTATCTTTTACTCCACTCTCAATCTTTTTTTAAAAAGTAATAATAATAATTTAAGACCAATTATGTAAAAGATGATTAAATTATAATAAAAATTACTTTAATTGTTATAAATTTATGTAATAGTCTCTGTAATTGTCGAATCACGTAAAAAATTATTATTATTTTTGTACAAAAAAATTTAAGTTATGAATGGCTCATTCAATTAGGATAAGTGAATAGACCTAATTTGGATTTATACAGGAATTTATAGATTACTCACCAAAAGTGATGGTAGTAAGATTCAAGCTCGACCTCACAAGTTTAAATTTTTTAATCTTAATCATCTGTGCCAACAATCGTTCGCATAAAAAATTATCCATTTGCTTAAACTATTTTCACTTCTTTTTTTGAATAGTATTATTATTACTTCTTAATACTTGTCATAATTGCCTTAATTTTTATAATTTATAACAAAAAAATCAATTAAGTTATGATAAAATTAATTTATCATCATTGTTATATATATATATATATATAAGTAATGATGGTGTATATCTTTCATTGTCGTAATGCTAATTTGTACACATGAATAATTTTTTTTAAAAAAAAAATAGATATTGTGATGTTTTATTCTCCAATTTTGTAAGTTTTTTCTTGTTGAAATAAAACCAGGGTAAAATATACTATTATTTATTGAACTTTACTCTCTTTTCTATTTTATTCACCATACTTTCAATTCTTCTAATTTCTTTACTAAACTTTCGGATGGTCCCCATTTTGCTCAAACTGGATTATTTTATTATTATTTTCATATAATGTGACATTTGTTATTATTATTTAATATAAAAATAAATTAAAATATAAAATAAAAATCGTCGGTGGTCGTCCACTGTTTGTCTCGCATTGGACGCCACCATCGACTGTCGTAAATGGTGGTCATTTCGGTCCCAGATTTCACGAGCCACTTCACCTCGACCCCCTGAGTCTAAATTCGACCTCAATTTTTTCAGAATATGATATGAAGTTTATGAATTAGATATCAAAAGTGAGGAAACCGAAATATTTTTGTCGATATTAATGAGTCTTGGGACATTTTCGGTGAAACAATCACCATATTCGGACTCAGGAGGTCAAGGCGAAGCGACCCGTGAAACCTAGGACCGAAAGACCACCATCTACAGCGTTTGACGGTGACATCCAAAGCCAGCGAACAATGGACGACCACCGTTTGTTTTTATTTTATATTTTAAATTATTTTTATATTTTAATAATAATAAATGTCATATCATAGGAAAATAAATATAAAATGATTTAAAGTGAGCAGAAACAATTCGAAAGTTCAATGAGAAAATTAGAAAAAAAAATAAAAATACGATAAGTGAAATAGAAAAGAAAATAAAGTTTAGTGAGGAATTGTGTAATTTATCCGTAAAACTACGATACAAGCTGCTTTCATGCAAGTCATCTTATACAAAGTCTCTGAACTATAAGCTCTGGTCAGTGTTTTATCTTTAAACAATACTTAAGCCCCAAGCATCCATGACGATGACTTGCACGAATAGCGAGCCATTCATGTCTTCCCTTGTTCTATTTTTTTAAAAAACAGTTGACTCGTAGCCCTACCCTTTGTTCTATTTAAGCATCCCCAGACCCAACATGTATGTTCGCAGAAACTGTTGTTCTGGGTTTTTATTTTATAGCTAGCTAGCATCAGCGGACATCAATGGAGTCCGGTGGTAATCCCTTGTACAGATGCAGCAACTGCCGAAATCCCCTCGCTCTTGTCGAGGATCTTCTCTCGAAGAACTTCATAGTTATTTACTACAACCTTTTCTTTTCTTCTTTACGTGCGTGTGTTTTCGTTTATGATTTGATTTGGTTTTAATCAACAGGCAAAATCAGGGAAAGCTTATATGTTCCGACATGCGATGAACGTGGTGTTGGGTCCGAAATACGACACGCAGATGATAACCGGTCGATACACCGTTGCCGATGTATTTTGCAGCAAGTGCAATGAAAGACTGGGCTGGAAATATGTTCAGTCTTATGATATGAAAAACAGGTACAAAGAAGGCACTTTTATCCTCGAAGAACTTAAGATGTTCCAACAGTACTAAAAATACGTGGACTCTGGTTATATTTAAGGTCAAATAAGTGGGCTTCAAATTTAAAATTCGAATATGTGGTTATAATTCTATGTTTAAATTTAACTTTGTGTTTACTTTGTATCATATTAAGATCCTTTATATTTGATAGTCACATGAACTATGTAATACTTGGAAGTCATGTCAGATCATGTATTTGAATAAAATAATTTTTTTTTTGTTGCCATCCGGTTTCAAAGATTCGTCTTGACTAGTCTTGATTGATTCGGATTGCACACTTGACTTTAGTGGGTGAGTCTCCCAGCGGGGATTTTCTGCATACACAAGGACTTGAAATGAAACATTGTTTAAACGACATCAAGTTGCTTACCACTTGAACCAACCTCGTTGGTAATAAAATATTTTTTTAAATTAACATCAAACATGTTATCTGACACGTGTCATGCATATGAAATTTTAAAAGTTATTATATTTTAAAAAACTTAATATTATAATTAAAAAAACTCAAAATTTACATCTTTCGTCGTCGATCGACCACAGTCTATATGTGACTGTCACCGTTGACAATATCAAAACTATCTTGTCGTCGCGACCAAAACCTAACCCCTTATCTACTGTAAAATTACACCGATCATCGTGAAAACACCGCGAATGATCGCCAGATATAGGTTTTTCGTTACCTTTTTTTTACTATTTCGACAACTACAGTCGTTCGTACGTTATACGACCATCACAGTTGAGTTCCTCGTCCTGCTCCAAACAAAATTCAACCGATGGTCACCGTTAATTTAATTCTACTTAGAGGAGAGAATAAGGGATGCTCTAAAAAAAAAAAGAGAATGCTCCTAATAGATTTATAACTTATGACCTAAGAAAAAAATAAATAAACAAAGATAAATAATTTGGTCATCAAACTAAATGTGGTTTGCTCTAACATTGATTATTTTTTCTATTAATATAAAGTGATTACAAATGATAGTATTTATTTTAAAGATTAAATTATTTGATGATTATTGCTTAAATATTATACATTCGTTGATACTCAAACCTTAAACTTTATTATTACTTTAATTATTAAGTCGTTTGATTTATGATTACAAATTGAATTAAATCTGATTAAATTCTTATTTTAAATATAATACAATAACTAATAGGAACAGATTAGATAGACTAAATGTAAATTTCCTCGAAACAACAGCCTTAACTTCACGCGCCTTAAGTCACGTCTTAACATCACCAAGGATGTTTAAACTAATTTTTTTAATTAAATTAAAGTGATTATATAATAATATTATTTTTAAATATTTTTAATTATTTAATAATAAATGCTGCATAACTCATATTATAATAACTGATATCTGAATCTAAAATTTTAAAAAATAATAATTATTTATTTAATTATTGAAATAATTTGATTCTGTTTTCCCCTTCAAATGATAGGGAACCGGCCCATTCTGACATCACACCCTAGGCGCGTGTTTAACCCCTGCTACCGCCACACCCCTTTATCTTCAACAACAGACAACAGTATCCTCCGTCATCTTGACTAAAAACAATCAAAATAAAAAGGATAAAACCATATCAAAATTCTCTTTCCAAAAGAACCCAATGCTCTCCTTCAATGAATCCAAACTTTCACTCTCGAAAATCAGGTCAACGATGTTAATAAACCCTGTTAATCCCTCTCTGAAAGATTATTGTGTTGAAATATTCTGATTAACCAGTGAAAAATCTCACCTATCCTGTCTTTGTCACCCACCCATTTGTTTAATCAAAATCTACGGAATCTTTGTGATCCAATTTGGTTTAATCTTGCACGCAAATACGTTTATTATTTTTTTGTTTATTTTATCAATCTACTTTTGCTCATATTTTCTGTTTTTTTTCCTTCTTTTTTTCCATTGCTTGAAATTGGTTTGGTTGTGATTTTGATTTTGATTCTGTGTCAGCATCGAGGGTGTTGAAGCTTGAAAGTTGACGATCAATGGCGGAATCATTGGGTCCACGATTGTACAGCTGCTCGAATTGTAGAAACCGTGTTTCTCTCCACGATGATATAATTTCCAAGTGTTTCCAGGTGAATTTGTGCTTTCATGAGCTAGATTTTTCTGCATATCATCATTAGAACCTATGCTACTCGGATTCAAGCTAGTTTCTGTAATAATGAAAGCACAAACATGATAATAATGAATTTAAAATTTAATCAAATTGCTGCTAAACTTCTACCTATTTATAGAGAAAATCTACTCAAATTGAATTTCATGTTTTTCATCAGCTCTGTTTGTCACTTCATATCCTCATTTTAGTTAAATGGGTTTCTTCTTAATCATCCCGATCTCGATCAAAAAGGGATTTAGATTAATCTCTTTTAACAGTTTCGAATATAGATACAGTTATACGCTTGATCATATATCATAATAATGTAGTAAATATATGTTTTTATCATGTTATTTGGATTTAGGTGTATGTTGAATACAAGCATGCTCCATGTATTTGGAGGATTGCATCTTTGGATGTGAGTTTTGGACACGGATATACTGCAACATCCATATGAATTGAATTCGAACATTGCAGAAGTTTTTATGGAGTTTTGGATGCGGATATATCAATATGGATTGAATTCGAACATTGTAGAAGTTTAATTAGTTTCATATATGATCAATCCAGGACCTTAGGGGACTTTTGTCCCACGTTCTTTTGTTCTTATAGGGAAGAAATGGCCGGGCATTTTTATTCTCGCACGCAATGAATATAACCGTGGGACTGAAAGAAGACAGGCATCTCTTAACCGGTCTCCACACGGTGGCTGATGTTTAATGTGGTGATTGCCACCAGGTTTTAGGCTGGAAATACGAGCTTACGAGGCACCGCAGAAGTACAAGGAAGGGAAATTCATACTCAAGAAGGCGAAGATCGTGAACGAGGATTGGTAACACCCCGCACCATTTTAAAGGTTCTGATTCCATTCATTCCTCTGTTTGATGCAAAAAAGGAAAAACTTGGTCGCCCCATTTGGGAATTTGTTATTTGTTCCGAACCTTGCATTCCCAACATGTACTAGAAAATCTGGAGGATGCGTTATGGTATTGTTAACTGTTTGTCCATGATATGGATTCAGCATTGTGTAAAAAGCACCTTCCATTAAAATGATTGTTTCATATGAATATGAGAGGTTGCAGTGTCTATTGCGAATGTGGTATATGCATTATTACCGAGTTCGGCCAGAAAAATTAAACCATTGGAGCTCAATTCACACCCAGCGGGACTCTAACCCACAATGCCTGTAGTACAAGTCAGACGCCTTATTCATTAGGCCATGGGTGCTGATTGAAGGTTACTCCCACAAACTTTTTTGTTGATTTGTTTTTTTGTTTGAGGAAGAGAGTTGTCAGAGCATTTGATAGTGAGCGAGTCCAACTCGATACCAATCCGGCCGGAACAAAAAAAATACCACACCCAGTGGGACTCGAACCCACAATCGCCTGATTAGAAGTCAGGCGCCTTATCCATTAGGCCATGGGTGCTTGTTGATAGTTGATCCCACATATAATTTAAATCACTATATTTCAGCCCTGCACAAATACATAATACTTGGAATGTAATATTATTAATTATTTAATATTATATTTTCATATTTGATTTGAATGGTTAAAACCTACTTTTTGTTTTCAAATAATCTTTAGAATCAACTATTATTTGTTTCAAGTTTTGCCTATTGATATTATTTAATTAATTGAAATATTCTAATACCATTTATGTGATCATTATCTTATTTTCAAGAGATATATACAATAGGATATACAACGTCATCGTTTTTAAGTTTCATAAATTTTTTACGGTGAGATTAATGTATCCTACCTCTTTAAGACGTAACATTCTCCCTCATTTTAATCTCATGACCTTTTTGTCGTGAACTATCGTCATAATTGTTTTTCATGTATATGTCATCCAATTAAGTGTTGAACGTAAAATTAGAGTTAAGTAAACTCTAAGAGAACTATATCTAATGTTTTTTTTTAACTTTTTAAGGTCTAATAACTCTTTAAAAACCTATAAATTTAAATGTTGATCATTTTAATCCTTATCTCCTTGCCTTTAATACCATGTTTTATGTACCTAATACCATTTATTACAAAATTATTATTAGTTTTCGTGATTTTTTTAAGAAAAAATTCATATTACGTATAATGGGACTACATTATTTTCCGTCACACATGCTTCATGTATTAAATCCTTAAATATGGCCTATTATTTGCTGTGACGAATATGATTAGATACTAAGACATATCAAAATTGATAGTTTAAATATTAAATGCGTAATTTACCCATTATTTTATTACAATATAATGCAAATAACCCGCTGTTATTCTGATGTTTTTTGCCCGCCTGCACGATTTCTCTTACACGCCGCATATAATTATTTAATTTTTAGGTTTATATAATAAATTAGCCCCGTTAAATAATATTAAAAATTTTCAAATAATTTGTGTATATTATTAATTAATAAATATTTTAATACAATATTATATTATAATTCTCTCACATTAATAAAAATATATTTTTAACAAGATTAACAAAAAAGGTTACTTTTATGTATATTATATATATCCTATGTCGAGACTAATAATAATCCCACTAATTGTAAAAATAAAGTCAGTACTAGAGGACGATTCGTTTCCTTAAAGCCTAAGGTCCTCACAGTATTAGCCAAGTCTCTTCATTTTCAGTCAACAGAGCACTTTTTTGTCCACTGGAAACCATTTTGCCATGGAAGACGACTCCCGTTTCAAGGGTCTGAAGAGGCCGTTGGCCTCCGTCGAAGGACATTCCGACGTCGTTCTCCAACGTTTCAAAGTCCTGTTACCCAACGGGGCCAGCGTTGATTTGACGAAAGACGATCAAGAGCGTGAAATCTCATTTCAGGGTTTCATGGACTTGATCAGGGACGCGTATGATGTGGAGAAACGACACTCTGGGTCGTTTAAAAGAAAAGGAACGATAAACTGGAAGAGTAAAAGGTTGTATCTCGAGGACGAAAATGGGTCGAAAATGATGGGACGGATCGATTTGCGGTGTTTTAATCCCCACAAGTGTCACATTCTTCAACTTCATGTGAGTGTTTTAGGTTGCAAAGATGTTTATGCTCGTTTTGGTTTGCTGATTAAAATGGAAATTCTTCAAAGGTATGAAAGAACTGGAATTTGTTTTTATTTGCTTGTCACTTAGTTGCTGTTGGTTTTGATGTTCAGGATGGTTCTGGAGATGTGACTAATACTTTTGAGGTAATGAATTTTCTCCTTTCCATTTTTGGGGCATTGTTGTTCGACTGATGTATTCTTCTGAGAAACCATGGTTAATTTTTTTGGATGAATTTGTTGGTTTTCAGAATATGTGGGATTTGACTCCTGATACAGATTTGTTGATGGAGTTACCAGAAGAATACAATTTTGAATCTGCTCTTGCAGATTTGATCGTAAGTTCAATCTTGTTTCTGTGATTCGAGATTTTCCTTTATGGTTCGATATGTTTTTTAGTTGATCCTTAACCTTTTCCACTTGTTTAACAGGACAATTCCTTGCAAGCAGTTTGGTTGAACTGTGAAACCCGTAGGAGATTGATAAGGTCTGAAATCTCACTGCTTTATGCTTATTGTATTTAGTTTATATCTCTGTTTTTTTTTCTATTGGCTTGAATTTATTCTTTTATGGAATATAGTTTATCTTCGAATAGTGAGTTGGAGGTGTGACGAAAGAATGGTTTGATTGCTTGTGTCTGGCTTGAGATTATTAATCATGTTGAACGCATGAGGCTTAGAATTTATTCCAGATTTTCGTAGTGACCTCTGTTTGTTTCTTGTATATATTATATTTTAGCCTCTTTATGTATATTTTGTGTGCATGCTGTATTGCTTTTCCTATATCATGCTTCATATGGCTATCTTAATATTATTGCAGTGTGGATGTTCGTGAGAATAGAATCTCAATATTTGACACTGGGCCTGGAATGGACAACAGTGATGAAAACTCTATTGTGAAGTGGTATGATTTACCATTTCTTTTCTTTTTCTATATATCTATGTTTATTTTGTTTTAACTCTTGCTTTGGGACTTTGGTTAACTTTTCTTCTGTTGTTGGGTAAGAAATTTATTATTTATTCGATCGTAGTTTAAAGGCAGTCCACTTTGTTCAAGGTTCAAACATAAGTGAGATATACTTTGGAAGGAAATATTTTCTGTACTCTTCTTCTGGTTGTTTCTTAATTTCAATTTTTCTTTAGAGTTTTGCCATTGAATTCAAGTTTATTCTACTTGTTTTATTCAGGGGAAAGATGGGTACCTCTCTAAACAGGTTATATAAAGTAAAGGCGATAGGGTGCAAACCTCCATTTTTAGTGGTAAAAACTCTATGAAATTTTCTTTTATTTCTTTTGGTCAGACAAGTTGGTATCTGTCTGAGATTAATGTAACCACCATTTGCCGTTTAACTTTGCGCACAAAGAGACCAATATGACTTAGAAGCTCTTTATATCATTGATGGATTAGTTATTATATATATATATATTTGCTTTCATAACAATGCAGCCGTCTTTTGGCATGTTTGGATATGGAGGACCTGTTGCATCTATGCATCTAGGGAGGTATGGACTCTTGGACAAATTGTACATGCCTGTCACTCTGTTTTATGCTGATTTTTGTTTTTCTGGTCTCCCCCCAAAAAAAAATCTTCATTTAGCTGTGTTATAGTTTCGTCCAAGAGAAAAGAATCCAAGAAAGTTTATAAGTTATCTCTTTCACGAGATGCTTTACTCGGCAATGCTGGTTCTCAATGTAGTTGGAGGGTATGCAAGTTCTCTTAGTATTGATTTCCCTAAAGTGTAAGCTTTTATAGATTTTTTTATTATATTTAACTTTCTCATAAGTTTGTTTCATTATGTCATCAAAACCATGTTACATTAGACTGATGGCGGCATTAGGGATCCTTCTGATGATGAAATTGTGAAATCACCCCATCTGAGCTTTACAAAGGTTTACTTTTCTGTTCATCACATTTGATCTTAATATATTTTTGTTTTTAGAGGTTAGACCCCCTGCATTTTATTCGTGCATGGGTGTCGTTTTAGCTAGGTGAGGATGTTCGTATTTTATTGGTCTCAATTTGTGTATTGATAGTTTGATTCTTCACAGGTGGAGATACTAAAGCCTAAAGTGAAAAACTTGGACATATCTAAGCTCCGATGTAAGCTGAAGGACATATACTTTCCGTATATTCAGGTGAGACGTTATTCTTGAATCTTGACTTTATGACTTTGAATCATACTAGAATTGTAATTTCCTCTTATGCAACAATTTGTTGACTTGCAGTGTGATGAGTTGTCCGACGGTGGCAAGACTGTTACACCTGTTGAGTTCCAGGTTTTGGTCATTATACAGTAACTCCAACATATTGATTTTGACCTAGCCTTTGCAGTTACTCCTAACTCTAGAGTTCGTGGAATTGCGGTAAAATATTTTGGGAATATTAAAGGATATTGTTGCTTTTCAGGTTAATGGTGTCGATTTAGCTGGAATTCAAGGCGGCGAAGTTGCAATCACAAACTTGCATTCTTGCAATGGTCCTGAATTTACTGTGTCACTGCGCTTTTCCCTTAAAAAAGAGAATTCTTCACCCAGTGCTTCAGGTAGTTACAATTCTTGCCGAAAATCGAGAGAAGTTTAGAAGTTGGAAGAAAAGAAAGAAGACGAAAAGGAGTTAAGAAAGGGGGCTGTTTGTTATGAGAAAGAGAGGAATAAGAAGAGAAAAAAAGTTATGAAAATTGAGCTTGATTATCTCTCAAGCACGAATAGACTTTTATACTAATAAACTATACAAAATAAGGAAAGACCAAGATGACATTAAACATTTACAGTCTATAAGTCCCTGCTATTGTACTAAATCAAATACTAAGATTAATGTATAGCACAGCACTTGCTATTTTACTGCGGTTATCATTGGCGTTCTTTCTTCTCATGGAACAGCAACATTTTTGCCAGTGTTAAGTTTCTGATGTTTTATATTTTCCAGGTTCTAAGGCTCCTCTAATGGCAAATGCACGCCTCAAGTTTATTTATTTTCCCATCCGTCAGGTACTTGATTTATTTTTTATTGTTAGTATATAAGCTTTTTGGAAGTATTTTAAGTACGTTTTACAGGGGAAAGAGAGTATTGAGAGGATTATTGAGAGTTTGGAAGCTGAAGGATGTGGAGATAGAGAAAACTTTGAGAACTATAGTCGTGTCTCAATTCGTCGACTTGGACGTCTACTTCCAGATGCTCGTTGGGTTAGTTGCCTATCAAGCTTGTGAAGTTTTTTTTTTTTCATATACCTTATATTGTAATTTTGTTATTTACCTTTTAAAGAATCCTTCACTAGCAGATACTATTTTATGCATCTATAACTGTTTAAATTCATATGCTTTGGTGCTTCTTTGTGTTGTGCTGCTTGGTTAAGAAAGTCACAATAATTAAAATGTAATGTATTTGCTTATTACAGGCATCACTTCCTTTTATGGATTTGAGGCAGAGAAAGGGAGAAAACTATCAGTTGTTGAAAAGATGTTGCTTGAGAGTTAAATGCTTTGTTGGTAGAGTGCACTAAATTCAAGAAAAAGTGCTTTATATGCGTACTTGTGATGTTTTTTTTTCTTTCTCTGTTATCATTATTCTTCAAGCAAACATTTTTTTTCTTTACAGAAACTGATGCCGGATTCAATCCAATGCCTTCAAAAGTAAGTAACCTTGATTCCCTTGTATTCTTCATTTGCATGGTTCCTGAATTTTGCATTGCTTGCTGTTATATTGATTTCTACTGTTTTGTTGGAAGTTACCAAGTGGCTTGCTTTTAAGTTGTTGGAGAAAGTGTCATAAATTATTGATATGATTCCTCGCTTCCTGCCTTTTCTACATGGGAATTACTGCTCTTATATGCGTGCATTTATGTGAATGTATGGTATGGTTTCTTATGCGGTGAGAATTACAAGATCAAGTAATTAACCGCGCTATTCTGTGTCGGTTACAGCAATAATTGAAGATTTATATAAGCTGTATGATTCCTTTACTGCTGTATTTGAGAACCTTTTCGGTTATTTTTTGTCCTGGGAACTTGTTATTGTTTTAATGAAGAGTTTGAGTTAAAATTTATTTCACCACCTGTTATTTGGTTATCCTCTTATTGAATTAGTAGAGGAAATGTGTAGTTGCGGCAAGCAGATAGCTGCTAAAAACAAGATCACGTTGGCCAAGAATGTCGACTTAATACATATACTTTTAAATATATGGTCAAACCAACATTCATACAGTATTGGAATAAGAATGCATAAAGAAGTCATAGTAATATTCAGGTGATGAGCTAAAGCCGTTTAATTAACAATATTTCTTTGCTCTGTATTTCTTCACAGACTGATTTGGCGCACCATAATCCTTTCTCCATTGCTCTGAAGAACTTCGGTAGTAGGCCTCAGGACAAAGAAAAAGGTGAACTTTGTTTTTGGTTTTGCTCCATATCAAATGTGAGAATTTCACTTTGTATATGATCCTTGTTAATAAATTACTCTTGAATCTATAGATGTCAATGTTGAAATTCATAGAGATGAAAAACAGTTGACATATTTGCAACTGGAAAGGGAGTACATGGATTGGCTTCTTCAAATGCATCGTATGTATGATGAAGAAATCGAGTCTGGTGAAGATCAACCTATCATTATTGTTAATCCCTTGAACAAGAAGGCGCTAGGAATATCATCTGATGGTAAGTATTATCTTTTAAGCAGTTTGATGTACAAATGCATGCTTGATTATCCGTTACCTCTTAATTTGGTTTGCCAGCTTTCTTTCCATCCTGTTTTAGCTTACATTACCTATATGTACTATTTCTTCTTTTTAACTTGCAGTTATAAGAGTTCATCAAATTCTGAAGAGAAAGAGATTGTTGTGGAAAAGTGGCCAGAAAATCAAAGTTCTCAAGGGTGCATGCACCGGGTGTCATAAGAACAATGTCTATGCAACGATAGAACATTTCTTGCTTGAAGGATTTCAGGGGGATTCTGGTGGTAAATATTTTATTACAGCTAAGATGTTTGATGTATCATTGTCTAATACTTATTATACATCAAAATATTCCTTTGATTGATTTGATGCTTAATTTATCTGTTTTCTATAGGAGAAGCTCGAATTATATGCAGGTAACCATGGTGCTTTTCTTTTAAAGTTTCTTGTAGTTTTATTTTATTTTATAATATCTAATACCTTATCGTTTATTATGTATTTGTCTATTTCTGCTCGGAAGGCCACTAGGTGTGGAAAATGGCTGTAAGCTTTCTGTAAAGGGTGGAACTCCCAATTTGGATATTCAGGACTCACTATCGCTTCCAATTAGCGTGATTGATTCTCAGAAGGTTAGCTTTTATTGTAAATCCTTATAATAATCTGAAACCTGTTTGCAACTGTTTCATATGGTTGAGTAACATGCTGGATCCTGAGCCATTTGCAGTGCAAGCCCATTGATGATTCTGATTGGGAGCTCCAAGTTAAGAAACAAATTCAGAAGAATCCTTCAAGAATTGAATTGCTGAATGTGAAACAGTGTCATCAGTTGGAGGTTGATGGGGTCAGTTGATATTCAACCGTGATAGTTGCCTAATCCTTTGTTTGTCTGTTGCCCTATGGTTTGACATTTTCGTAACAGAATCTTTAACCTTTAAGATTGCAAATGTTAATAACAATGATCGTCATTTTATTAGTCAAAACAATTGGTTATAAGCTCCTTCCTGGTTCTCAGTTCAAGCAGCTTCAATATGCGTTATTCTGATTGATCTGGTTTCCTATATTAGGCATTGCCGACCAATATTCGAATACATGCTGGACAAACCCCTCCAAAGGTCATTGTGGCTGTTTTTCGTCCAAGTAGTTTCACATTTTCTCTTGCTTCATACTTGGACCAGAAGGACATTGTGAAGGTTAATTTGGAGATGTCAATGGAAGTCACATTTAGAAGAACCAAGAACCATCAAGATTTTGTACACATTTACTCTGTTCGCATTGCACCTTCATCCTTCAAAGGGTTTCATGGATTGTATATGTTCTCACTCGGGGTGAAGTTCCGTCACTTGTTTCAGAAAGCTGGTGCATATACATTTTCTTTCTCCGCTGTGAGCAACTCAGAGACCTCTTTTATATTTCCTACTTTGAGTTTATAAGTTGTCACATTTTTTCAAGTTTCTTCTGGTCGTGAAATCTAATGGAAGCTTCACATTAACTAGGAACATTCGGGTTGTCCGAAGTACAAACAAACAATGATGGTAGTGCCTTCAGAAAAGGTTGGAAAGTGGGAGCTTCTTCGTGATGAGAAGTTTCCATCTTATACTGTAAGGTAGTGAATCTTGTAGAAATGATTTCTGGATTTGGGTGTTTATTGACTTTCTTGGAAAATGAAGAAAAATGTATATATCAATAAATTTTCCTTTTTTTAAGTTCAAAATGGGATCATGTTTTCCACTCTAACTCTATGGTCATTGGGCAGGGTCGGTTCATGTTTTCCACCCTTATCTCTTGCATGCTATGACATCTATGACAACCAAATGTCATTTACCTCCTTTCCTAGCTTAAAGGTCAAGCTCAGCATGAATGAAGATTTGTGTATTGATGTGGTCAAGATGAAGCCTTCCCTTTCATCTGATAATTTGGTCTTTATTGTTAAGGTATGTTCTTCCGTAAGTCTTTTTGCCCTTTGGAAGACATTACATTTATATTCCGAAATTTTTTTCAAGTAATTTTGTAATCATTTGTTCCCTTTCTTGGTTTGTCCTAATGCTGCAGGATATTGTGATTGAATGTTATGAGTTAGACTCAATCCGGCCAAATTATGCAGCCACCTTGATGATATATATTCAAGATGAGTCGACACCAGTTTCTGTGGGATGTCAGGGTACTCACCTCTAACATTCAGCTCTAATATTAATCACTCTGCATGTATAAGCTTTAGAACAGAAATGAATCAAATCATTTCTTTTGTACTGAGATGTCTTTTTTTTGTGTGGCACATTAGTTACCCCTGGAGATCTACACTCTATCAAAGTCTGTTCACAACTTCCCAGAAAGCAATTACTCCCAGGCTTTGTAGTTGAGCAGTTTTTGCTAGAGGTGAAACTTCTATCATTTTTAATGCCCTATCTTTGCCTTAACTTCGTGTTTTAATGGGTTGTTTGGTTCTATACAAAGAGGAAGAGCCTCCTTTCTTTTAACCTTTTTTTCTGGTTGGAGTTGAAATAATAGCACATGGGGCATGAGAACTGTAATATGAAATTGTTAATTGGATATGTGATCTTCATTTTATTAACATGGTAGTGTATTTATGGTAGGTGTTCGATGTGTACGGAAATCATGTTGAAGAAGGCTTCGAAGTTCAATTCCAGTTGAATGGTTTTAGCATCCAAGGTCAAATAGGCTCGAGCTTTAAGGTTCGATCTTCAAACTAATATGTGTTAGTGCTCTATGGAGAATAAAAATGCCATACTAATTTATACTGCTTGTTCTAAATATTTCATGAAAACTAATAGCAGTTTTCCCAAAACATCTAGGTGGATAACCATGGATGCATTGACCTAGGGGGCCTATTGAAAGTAACCACAGGTTATGGAAAACAAGGTATATACCTTCATGATTTGCTTGCTCAAATTGGTTCGGTTATTCGGGCCAAATATATTTTTTGATTTTCATACTTGTAAAGTCACCAGTTGTAACATTAAGTAATCCTTTTAGCTGATTTTTCCTGCATGTCTTGCCCTGCAGCGTGTCTCTCTGTTTTACACGATGATAAAGTAATTTTCAAGCAAGATTTTCAAACTGAGAAAAGGGAGCTAAGAATATCATCAAGTGTCAGTAAATTATTCTCCTTTTTCATGTTCATCTTCACCAATATTTCCCTCAACTTCTCTGTTTACCATAATGTTTTCTCAGGTGCCGGAGCAATGCATTGCTGGTTCCTCACTGGAAAATATAGGTTTTGAAGTTGTAGACTTCAATGGGGATGTTGATAAAACATTTCATCATGATGAAAAGTGTGGCCAATCCCATACGCTCGTAATTAAGTCAGAATCATTTGAAATAGATGATTCTATACGCTACGTGTTCAAGCATGGCCTCTGCAACATCACTTCTTTTCCCCTTCCTCAAATTGAAGGGCCCCTTTTCTTCAAAGCTTTTCATTCTCATTACTCTCAGCTATGTTGCGATGTTAAGGTTGGGAAAATCTTGTTTCCATTTTGTGATTAACATTTCATCAGCATATTGTTGATTTCATTCTAAATTGATGATTTCAATCTGCAGATTTATCTTGTACATGCTCCAATAGTCAATGACGAAGAGGCTGAGGTCCACACTTCAGATGGAAAGGTCTTATTCCTGCTGAACTAACCATTTGTCAAGAACGAAAGAGTAGTTCATTGACGATATCATTCTAAATTTCTGATTTAAACCTGCAGATTTCTCATGCTCCAAAAGTCGAGAACAGTGAGGTCGAGTCACACACTTCCTGTGGAAAGGTCTTATTCCTGCAAAACTCGCCATTTGTCAATAATGACAATGTAGGAAACCTACTGTCCATAGTGAAATATGACAAGGGAACCTGTTCTAATTGTGTGTGTTCCCTCAATGAAACCGTAGTTTAATTCTCGAAGTGGACTGCTTCTTGAACAGGAACTAGGGAATGAAGTGCTCAAATCTGCTGAACGTGTGGGAAAAAGGGAAAATTATCTGAAAGAGCTTAATCGTTGTAAAACAGGCATCGAGCAACAAATTTTTAGGTTGCAAGGTTGTTTTTCCTATTTAAATCGATCAATTTTAGTATGTCTTGTTTATGATTCTTGTTTCTCCTCGTAAACTTGTCATGTTAGAAAAGATGAAAGTAGTTCCTTATCATCAACCTTTTGCAGCTTCTCTTGAACCCGATTTAGTGAACAATCTGGATTGCTTGTCAACAAAAGAAGAACTAATGAAACTGATCAAGGGAAGAGGTCAAACTGCAGCTGCTATTCTCTGCAGTCTTGCTCAAGGACCACCGATGCATATCACGGAAGATGTAGTAGGCGTGGTAGCCCTACTTGGAACAGTTTGCTCTGTTGAACTTAGCAGGTTGTCTTCACTTTATTTTTAAAGATATCATAGCGAGACAATGAATATATTTACATCTTCTGTAACTTAATCTCTGTGGATTTCCCTGGACATCTCTGTTGCAGGATTTTAGCCGAATACTTGGGTGAAGATCAAATGCTTGCGGTCGTGTGCAAATCCTATCATTCAGCAGGTGCTCTTGAGCAGTATGGGCATAATGGTAAAGTTGATTCTAGGTTCGGTCTTCATGCAGAAGCTACCGCTCTTGGTAAATCTTTAAGTGACAGATTTTTTGTTGTCTGCCTCGAGGATATAAGGTATTGCATGGATGATACTTATTGGTTTCGTAACGTTAACGGAGATCATTACAACTATTCTTATATACATTGAAGAAAAAATATTCAAAAACTGAATACAATTATTTTATGTAATGTTCAATCATGCAGTCCTTACCTGGGAGGAGTTGAGTTCAATGACCCTCAAAGGAAGCTTGTCTTACCAATTCCTAGCTTACCATTTGGACACTGTCCTCCGGGTTTTATTGGCTATGCAGTCAACATGATTAATTTGGATAATCCCAACTACAGAACTGATTCCGGCTATGGTTTTCGTGAGACTCTATTCTACAGACTTTTTGGTAAGGTTCAAGTATACGATACAAGGGAAAATATGGAAAGGGCTCGTAGTTGCATAAAACATGGTGCTGTGTCTCTGGATGGAGGGATTCTGAGAAAGAATGGACTTATATCTCTTGGATTCAGGTACTTAATACCCTTCTCGCTCGCTATGTATATGCCCTTCGTTGTCTGCTTCATGTCTAATTCCTAGAGTTGTTGCCTTCTAGGAGCCCAGAAATATATTTTCGGGTCGAGAACAGGAACGTGTCTCCGCAAAGCCAGAAAATCATGGATCAAATCAAGGAAAAACAAAATGCATTAACAATCATCTTGCAACATATAGATGAATCGAATGAAAAGCTTAAGAGAGATCACCTTAGGCTCGACAAGAAAAAAACCAAGTTTCGGAAGTGCATGGATAATACCGATAATGCGATCAACAATATCGTAACTATGAGCCCACTGCAACACTCCCAAGAGCTTGAAACTCCCTCCCAGTCGACTCCGAGGTGATTATATTTCTAACTGACAGCTCTTTATCTGATTGATAGTACTATGAAGATCATATACACGGGTTAGTTCATATATGATCAAGCTATTTGTAAATGTCTGTTGAAATGGTGGGATCCTTGCAAGCTGAAACATTAGCTTTTTTATTACCATGATGTATATTTTATCATATTAAATGATCTAATTAAATATATATATATATATATATATATATAGAGAGAGAGAGAGAGAGAGAGGACTATTAGTAATTATCCCTTTATATGTATTGATGGTAATTGATGAATAGAAAAAGGAATAATGCAGGTTTGGCAGTTGTTATTAGACTTAGTGCACGCTTTGATGGCACCCTTCGTCAGCTCATTACTTGCGCCACCTTAAGAATGGACTTTTAATGATTACACTATTGATAACTCAGCTAATAATATAATTTAGGGTAAATTATGTATTTAGTACCTAAACTATTAGTTTTGATATGTTATAGTATCTAAACTTTTTATATTTTTAAAATTATACATAAAGTTTAGTTTTTGTTTTATTTTAGTATCTTACTATTAAAAATTGAAAGTTTAAGTATTAAAATGAATCAAAATTGATAGTTTTTAACAATGGCGTACTAAAATAGAATGAATGATAAACGTTAAGTATGATTTTGAAATATTTAAATACTAAAATGGATCAAAATATTTAAAGTTTAGATATTAAAACGGATCAAAATTGGTAATTTAAATATTAAATGCGTAATTTATTATATAATTTAACGTATATTTATCGATATGATAATATTTTCTTTATACAAAATTTTATTTCTAAAGATTAGGAATACATACGAAGTGGAGTAGGATAGATCGATCTTTTGGTTGTTTCTATTTTTTATGAAAAAATTAAAATTTTAATTTGATATCAATTAATTCTAATATTTTGTATTGTTTCATTCATTTAGAATTTTAGAGTAAAAATTAATATTTGATTAAAATTATAATGATCTAATTCTCTTTTACATAAAAATTGTCATGATTTACTTCGAAGCTAAATTTTAAAAAAATAATTTTATGAGATATAGTCAAATTAAAACTCTTCAAGTAAAAATAATCTAACTATAAATAAATTTATAAGAATAAATAATTATAATTAAGAGAATAGTATCTCAAGTAAATTTATTTAGGGGAAAAAAGAAAGATACCCGAATGTGTCGACTATGTAAGCTAAAAATGTAACTAAATGCATATTGTCTAAAATACTCTTAATTGACAGTATCTTCAGTTTTGGTGGTCGAAATGACAAAAAAATATTGGGTAAATTATACGTTTAGTACTTAAATTATCAATTTTTATTCGTTTTATTACCTAAACTTTCAATTTTTTTAAAAATCACACCTAAATATTAATTTTTATATAACTCGATGTTTAAAATTTTAGTTTTTGTTTCATTTTAGTGTATCCATGTTCAAAATTTAATGTTAAATTTTGAAAAATTGAAAGTTTAGGTACTAAAACAAACAAAAACATTAATAGTTTAGATACTAAACGCGTTAAATTTTTAACGGTAACGTACTAAAATGAAACAAAAATTAAACTGCATGTATGATTTTGAAAATTTTAAAAGTTTAAGTACTAAAACAAACCAAAACTGATAATTTTTGTACTAAATACATAGTTTACCTAAGATTATCCGTTAAAAGTGCCCTTCTAAAACAACCCCAAAAAATTATATGTTAAAAGTATCCTTCCAAAACAACCCAAAAACAAAAAATTAACTACACACCTATTTTAAATTATTAAAAAAATGGAATTAGGAATTTGGTTTAGTGTGATATCAAATCAAGATACCATAAATTTAATTTGATAGTTAAATATTTAATGATTGTAATTTGTATTGATGAGGTGTCTATGTTATTTATTGTTTGCCATCAAATGCATAAACTTCCCCGGGAAAAAAAAAAGCAAAAGAAGGTTGCTTTTATTTAAAGGAGGAGAGAAGAAAGGGTTGTTTGGTTCTTTTGGATCCATATTGTTTTTCCCAAATCTCCTCTTTCTTCTTCCCGCTATCTTTCTCTCCGTCATCATCTCGTAATTGAAAAGAGAGAAAGGAAAAAGGAAGAGAAGAAGAAGGAGGGAATTGAGAAAAGACATTGGAGTTTTGGGTGTGTGTTTCAAAGTTAATTGAAAAAAGAATCTGAGATTTGGGTTTCAGGTGGCATTTTATTGAGATTAAGAATGGATTTTGATAACATTGAGTGCGTTTCCACCGTTGATGAGGCTGAGGTCAATCACCATAATTCACACCCTCGCCATGCCCACCATCAATCCCCGTCTTCGAAGCCTCATAACGCCACCAGAAACAGCATCGATAATGGTGATAACATCAACAATATCGGAAGTCCAACGGCGGCCGCTCCGGCTTCCAGCGTCAGTGAATTGTTAGAATGCCCTGTTTGTACCAATTCTATGTACCCACCGATCCATCAGGTTTTCTCGCCTATTTCTTTTCAATTCATTACCCCTCCCCCTTTCCCCTTGCTCGTGTTGATTTGTTGATTTTGATTGGCAGTTCGAATAGATTTGTTGTGCAGTTGAATGGAAAGCATTTGTTTTTCTGGTAGTTTCTTTTCAATTTTTAGCATTGATTATGCATATTTATTTGTTGATTTTTAGCATTGTTTTTCTGGTAGTTTCTGGGTCAAATAACCATTGTTTTGTAGCCAAATGGATTCCGATTATATCTAGAATCAAGCCTGATCGAATCCTTAAATGGGACAAAATTCTCCTAATATTGTTTTTTTCTATCTTGTAATCTGAATTTATACTAGATTTGAAACTTTGTGTTGATACCTAAGCAATAATAATGGCTAAATCTAGTTGAAGTCTCTTTCACATACATACATACATACATACAGTTGCCTTTTAGCTATTAGAGAGAAGAACCTTTGGAGTAATTGGAGATGGTAATTTATCGGATGTGCTGGACGCTGAGATCTCTAAGTATTTGTCTGATCGGGTAGGAAGGATAATTTGTATATGATAGAGGATAAATTGCTCTCTCTACGGCTTTTTGCAGTGCCCCAATGGACATACACTTTGTTCTACCTGTAAAATCCGAGTACACAACCGGTGCCCGACTTGTAGACATGAACTTGGTGATATTCGATGTTTAGCATTGGAGAAGATAGCAGAGTCCCTTGAATTGCCCTGCAAATACTACAGGTTGGGGTGCTCGGAAATATATCCCTATTACAGCAAACTCAAGCACGAGGGAATGTGCAACTACAGGCCATATAATTGTCCATATGCCGGTTCGGAGTGTTCCGTTGTTGGGGATATTCCTTTCCTCGTCGCCCATCTGAGGGATGACCATAAGGTGGACATGCACACCGGCTCCACGTTTAACCATAGATACGTGAAATCTAACCCTCGGGAAGTCGAAAATGCTACTTGGATGCTGACGGTTAGTTTTGCATCTTCTATTACTATGTTCCAACGAGGTCTGTAATAATCTGCCTAGCACGAACCTTAATCTTCTGGTTTTGCTGATGTCTGACAGGTATTCAATTGTTATGGTCAGTATTTCTGCCTACACTTTGAAGCCTTCCAGTTGGGAATGGCTCCTGTCTACATGGCATTTCTTCGTTTCATGGGTGACGAGACGGAGGCTAGGAACTATAGCTACAGCCTAGAAGTTGGAGGAAATGGCCGGAAACTTACATGGGAAGGCACCCCACGCAGCATCCGTGATAGTCACCGGAAAGTCAGGGACAGCCATGATGGTCTAATCATCCAACGAAACATGGCACTTTTCTTCTCTGGTGGGGATAGAAAGGAGCTAAAGCTGAGGGTTACAGGAAGGATATGGAAGGAAGAACAGGGTCCAGATGCTGGTATGTGCATACCAAACTAATGTAGTTGAGAATTGATTTTGACAACTTTTTTTCTCTGTTTTTCGGTGTGTTCAACCTCTGCCAACCCGTTTCTGGTATATTGTAATGGATGAAAGTTTACAGATTCTATGGAATGTGCAATAAGAATATCTTATTCCCCAACCTTCTTTTTGCAGTAATATGATTAGTTTGAATCTAACAAGAAAAAAGTAACACGCACTATACGAATACACGATACAGAATGGATGAAAGTTTTCATGTCCTATGAAATGTGCATTAGTGGAATTCACATCTTATAGTTTAGAACGACAAATCTCAAATGACCCCCTCAGACCCTTTCCTGCAATAATTATTAAGCCGGTATTCCCATCAATAATTAAGAAATTATACGGACTCAAAACCAGGCATCATCCAACTTCCCGACATCACTGAGTGCTTTCATCATAAACTCATAGCTTGCATCATCCATCTTAAGCTTCTTCACCATTGTTTCGTAAAACGATTTCGCCTCATCCACTTTCCCGGCTTTAACCAATTCATCCACCAATCTATTATAAACAGCCAAGCTCGGCCTCAAACCCGCCTGTACCATCTTCCTAAAATATGAAGTTCCGTCATCAACCCTATCCACTTTAAAGCAAGCATCCATCAACAGAACACAAGTATACTCATCAGGGTTAACCCCCTCAGCCCCCATTCCACCATATAGCTCCTCTGCTTCGCCCAACAATCCATCTTGACACAACTGATCAATCAAATTGTTAAATGACAAAGTACCCGGGCTACACCTATAATCGCACATTGACCTGGAAACATCGATGGCTTCCTTAAACTTACCTTCGGTGCAATATCCATCAACAATCACATTAAAGCTCCCAAATTCACAGCTAATCTCCTAGGAGGATTATGCTCATTTTCCATCCTATCAAACAACCTTAAAGCCTCATCAAACTTCGAGTTCTTACTTAATGCGTCAAGAACATAATTAATAAGCAACATCACTCATTTTAAGCTTTGAATTCTCTCCACAATCTTCTTCATAACACTCCATAGCTTCCTTCTCCATTCCCTTCATGAAGTAACCGTTCGTCTTTAAAATATCATTAAATTTCTCAAATGATTATAAAATTATCATTATAATTTATTGAAATGTTATAAAACGATCTTCAAATTTATTGAACTATTAAATTATCATTAAACTTATTAAAATTTATCGATACTTTAACATTGTCCCCGTATTGAATCATTTTATAATCGTTTAGAAAATTTAAAGATTATTTTATAATAATTAAATTATCTTTGATCAAAGAAATTATTTTTATATAGTTCAATAATTTTTTTTTTGTTGGTACAAAGGAATATGAAACGATTGCATTTGACAGTTTACAATCTTAAAGTTGCTTCTCCATTCGCATCTACATGGAAAGGGGGATCAGATCTAGTGGAGGTT